TGCTGTTATGTTAAACTTATATTAAAGTTTTTCTTCATTACCCATTCAAGCTGTCTCCAGCCATTATTAGTCTTTCACAGTTAATACTATGCCATGAAACTTCATAAATTTAGGAAAAAAAACATATATATTACCTAGTATAGACCTAGAAGACACTTCTCGTTATCATAACTAGTATTTCCTCTACATTTTATTTCAATTTAAAAGGAAATAAAAGAAATATCTTAAATCAAACTTTCAAGATTGCAATCATGTAATTTATTTTATCTAATAATGGTTTTTGTTACTTCTAGGTTCTCAAAGAGCTTATCCTAAACTTGTTTATACATTTGAGTATTTTAATGTTGGTAAATGTACTGGCTCACTTTATTATTTATATAAGACTAGTTGTAATGTTGAATAAATATTCAAGTAGCTTAATAAGCTGTGGCTGACTCATAATATCCATGCTGATACAGTAGTAAGATGTTTCCAAACAAGGATGACTGTTAGACATTGTATTCCAAAAGTGATCTAACTCCCAAAATCCAAGAAATGTTTTTTTCATATTTTCTGGACTAAAAAATGCTACTCTTCTCATTATAAATTATCTAAACCCAATCCTTTTAGAATTCACGTATAGATCGGAAAGTTCCAACCCACATTCATGCTATCGGGGACTTAAGTTATGCAAAAATGACCTATGGGTTGAATCATTCCTGCAGAACAACTTTTCGAAAATGAGAAAGATAAGGTGTTTAATGTTCTGTAATTACATATAGATATATATTTCTCATCTCATTTGTTCACTTTTTTGGTGCAAAAGTGTGTTATGTGATACCAAAGTGTACATAGCACCTTTCTATATTCAATGTTGCACATAGCACTTATTATTGTTTAGAAAATATTATCACACTTTAGAATATCCTTAACCCTAACACAATGTACCATTGACTTGTGTCTACAAATTAACATTGATCAGTGACTAAAAAAAACCAGTAACTCATTCCAGCAAAAGGTAAGGTCATAAATGGCTATGAAAAAAAGAGTAAAACAGTTTTACCTTTTGCACAGCAAATAGCACTTCAGAATACAAGTTTTTAAAATTAGTTGCCACACATTCATATGAAAAAAAAAAAGAGTTTGAGTACAAATGTCACTACACTAGTGTAGCAACCAACAACCAGTGTATGTACATGCAATACAGTAGCTTATATAAAAATAGGTCTCTTAAAGATCAAAACATTGCTGATGATGTGGATGACTTTGTTGGAGAGCTGGATTTCTTTGTTGAGGTGGACTAGCCTTACTCCCTTTACTTCAAGTGCTACAACCATAAGCACTTATGATTAGAACAAAAATATTTGTTTCAACAGTTTATTTTGGAATAAATGTATAAGAACATAATGAAAATCTCATTTGTTTATTATTCTGTTTCTTGACATATTTTAAAAAATACCAGTAATGGGAAATCTGTATTCAGCAAAAATGGCCTAAGCCACCAATTGTCGTTTTTTGAATAATAATGAATAGTTTACTGTTATGAAAATGTTATGTTCTAACACATAACAGTGATCTCCATAAATTAAAATTAGAACATACATCTGCTATACATCACTGGCTTCTTAAAAGAAAACAAAATGTTTTGGTCATTTACTCAAATCTATGGTTTGTGCATTGGGTCACTTTTGCATAACATTCAATTTACCTTAACAAAAATGCCACATGTAGTTTACTACTGACTATCCTATTTTTAAATACATTATGACTAGCACATACTTTTGATTTGCAGATTTTAAATAAATGAGAATTTCAAACCAACAAACAGGATTACTCTCTTTATCTCTTATGACTGGACTGGTAACTATGATGATTAACTTTATAAAGGGTAGAACTAATAAACAAATGGCTGTGTTTTCAGTTTCAACTAGGCACAAAAATTTCATCAGCAGTACAGTGTTTATTCCATCATTACAATTTCAACAAAAAACCTCAATAGCTTTGTAATTTTTTTCAAGCGCACACTAGATTCTGAAACTGACAAAATTTAACACTAAAGATGATTATCTGGGAGTAATGTTGTTTTAAACCTTTCTTAAACTTATTCAGAAGAAGAAAAGTAACCAATTGTTGATGGGTTTGATCAAATTGCCTGGCCCAGCAGTATCCATGAAGCTAATACATTCTATGTTTACTATAATTCGGAATTTACTAAGTTCATCTTTTAGTAAATATTACAAATCTGTTGTACACAAAAAAATCAAATTTTTCAATAAAGTATTATTACTAGATATTTTTCTGTGAATTCTGAAGCCTTTACTAAATCAATCTGAATGCAAGGTGATTTTCATGTTATGAATAAAAATACTTTTTTTCATTTAACAATTTCATATTTTATTTGCATAACCTCTAAAACCTCTTAAGTGAAAATTAATTTTTTTAATAAAACTATTTTCTTTACCCTAACACTAACTATAACAAAATCATCAATGTACAGTGAAATCAAAGTTGAAAAAATTAAATAAAATTAATAATACCATTTTTTCTTCTGCATTGACTGAAGTATTGATTAGAAAGTTCAAAATTACTTATTTATATGGTTTCAACTGCTAATCTTTAACACATCTCTTTCCTTTTAATTTGGTGGTTTTATTGCTTTACTTTGTATGCACTGGATCAGTAATCCTAACTTCAAAAACAATAAATCACAGCAGGAGCCAATTAGCTGTTTCTCATAGAACTAATGTAAAATCTCATAAAATTTTAGATATTTTATTTTACTGAATATTGCTAGGTTAAGCTGAGAAGTTTCAAATTTTTACATTTTAGTTACTTTTTATAAATAGTATGTAATAATAATAGTAATAAAATATATCTATCTTGTCTATATATATATATAGACAAGCACAAGAATATGTGGTACTTATTGTGTACTTGAACATGTTTCCACCTGACTGAAAATTGAAGATGTTCTTCGATAAGTCTTGAAGTCTCATAAATTTTGGTGTCCATAAAAATTCCATATAGCTTTAAATTAAAATACAAATTAGAACACAAAAAATGTTAGTTGTTAGAACAGAATGTCTCAAAGCTACTATAATATATCCAGCATCCTAAGCAAATTATAAGTAGGTTGAAAAATTTCTTAAGCATTCAGAGCAGCAAAATATTATCACCACAAACCAAACAATTCTGCTGACTAATGGTTTACAGCACAAAAACTAAATGCAACGCACAAGATTTACGTAGAAGAGAATATGCTCCTTTTTATTGTGTATAAACATGTCCATCAGCAAAGAAAAGTTGATTAACACACAATCTAAAAGGCCAGAGATGGAACAGAAGGGAAGTTTGACAAATTTATTAATATCTCAGCAAACCAAGAAGATAGCAGGTTAAAATTTTAGATTCTTGTTTGTATTGTTTACAGTTTTAGAAATTAGAAAGTTCTGAGTGGAGAAATTGGAACTCAGAAGCATCATATGATATAAAAAATGAAGATTGAGAATTTTTTAAATATTTTTGAAATTAAGAAGTTAAAATTTAAGTAATATAAAATATGAATTATAAACTACATTTTAATGCTAGACTTATTGAAATATATTGATAATAAAGTTGTTTTGAATGTATCACTGTAAAAGGTCGTGACATGCACGAAAAGAGCCAGGTCTGGAGGGGTTGAATATATCAAGAAAAAATTACAAAAAGAAAATGCAAACAAATCTATGATATTTTAAGTTATAATCTGAAATTCATGCTAAACCATCACACCATTATGGAGATATTTGTATATCTATTTGTTACAGTAATGTCTGCAGTGTTCCCAGATAACAAACTAATAATGTTATATTTTGAAGCATGTTTATGTATAGAGTATAATGTTCAATATGAAAAGAGTGGGGTAAAAACCTACAACAATAATCACAACCTTATTACTACTACTAACCCACAATATAAACTAAAAACATTAACAAATGAAAACTTGTAACTTTTCTCAGTAACACCATACCTCTCTGCAAACACTATTATTTCCAATTTGTTAAATGTTCTTTATGAAAATCAAATGATTTCAATATAAATACGAACACACATTAATGGTTTTTATGTAAAACAAATCATCTAATTAGTTTGTAGGTTCATGACTTAGCAAACATTATTTGAAGTTAAAAAGGTAAAGTACCTATTACATCTTTTTTTCCTAATCATGACAGGTAGTAAATAAGAATTTAAGAGGGATTTTTTTCAATTTCAATCTATCAATTTTCAGTATCATATTGAACTCGTAGTTTTTAACATGTTTAAGCTCAGTAAATTATTTGTACATACCATGATTTTATCCTACTATAATTTTGTACATATGCATACAACAACAAATTACAGCTTTCTTTAAAATTAAAAATAGGATTTATGTTTAAAATGTACAATAATTACTGCTTGTTTGACCATTTTGAGCTTTCTTTATTTGTTTGATGATAATTTTTAGGTAGTCTTTGATACTCTAGCTGTAGTAAAAAATACAAACTAACAATAAATTCATTATGAACTAAATAAAATGATTTTTAAATTACAAATAAAATAATTCAATTCTATGGCTTCTTTTTTTTCAAAAGTTTGGGTCAAGTTGTATGTCACTTACAAAATGTACCTGAAAAAATGGACACTAACATTAAGTACTAAAAAAACAGTAATGATTTCATACAAAAACTTTGCTCATCAAAGAAAGTTTATTCATTGTGTATCTAATCACTCTTTGACCTATTTGATACTTCTTTTGAAACCAATCCCATTTTCTTGATGATAAAGTAGACTACAGGCCAACCTAGATAAATTATGTGGCACACATAGTAAAGAGAAGAGTACACCTGAAAAAACAACAGAAAAAGGAATTATTCCCTTTTTATTTTTGTTTACAGTTGAACACAACTAATTCTAACTAAATGCATGTAAAACGTTTTCCTTGAACTATGTTGTTTGTATGACATTTGTTAAGGACACCTAATTCCAAAAGTTAGGTTTGGTGAATATCCACTAATAATACAAGACTAATTGTTCTGTTTTGTCCTTTTTTTAGTATAGTTTTTATAATTCATATGAAAGGTATGATGAATTCAATATATATCTTTTGATTGACTGTGATAACCACCTATATGACTTTTCATTAAATACCAGAACTCACCATATAATAACTTATGAGTGAAAATAAAGTAAAAAAGAATGTAATATGTCAACCACACTATATGCACTACATCCAGTGCTAATGAGGCCTTTTGCTCAATAATAGGTTGAGTTCCTGATAGACAAAGAAGTGGCAAGAACCTTTGTGGACCTTGCAATCTTTCAAGCACTACAGGTAGACCACAATGTTCAGTGAATACTGACTTTGTTCTGTTGAATAGTGACAGACTAGATGTTATAGAAGTGGATCTCCAGCTCAATGTAAGAGGCATATCCACAGAATAGATGTAGTTGTTTCTTATCTTGGACCTGGAATTGGCATCATTAGGATGAACATACTGTGGTGTTTGTCATTAACCCTATCCTCATGCACATCACAAGGTTTTAGCAACTTACATTCAAAATTTAATTAAACTAGTTTTTGTTTATGTTATATCAATTAGTATATCATAAATTTGTAGCTAATAATTAATATCTTAACAGTATATAAATTTTTAAGTTCATAATTTTATAAGGCAATATTAAACAAAATCCTGAACTTCCCCTAGGGTGAGAAATATGACATGTTTTCTCTAGGCATCTACTCTTCTCCTTTTTACTCATCACCCTTCCAATAAGTAAGAAATTTAATGAAAATTACTCACTACAGAATCATCATTGCTCAGACAAACCATAAATTTTATAGCCTTCAATCCTGTTTAGTTACAGAGCCATCAAATAGAAAATCAGACCCCTCTTGCCACATCAACCTGTTACATCCTCTCTTTCTGGATTTGTTAACTAGTTCCCTCTTACTCTTAATGCTATATTATGTATAACTAATAGAAAGCCAAGGTTTTCATTTATCAAATGATGTATTTTTATTACATTGTTTTCTGAACAGAGAATTGTCATTTTCTCTGTTAGTACAAGCTTTGTTCCCATGGGAAAGATAACAACTAGCTTAGATGAACTTGTAATGGCTCTTGTTGCAAAGTTAGAAAGCCAGAAAGGAATGTACAAGGCAATTTAGAAACACCAGTTTACCGGAAACTTTTTCTGTTCTTATGCTCCCACACCAAGAATCATGTCATACTAAGTCACAAAAAAAACGTGTGCATTTTATAGTTATGTTAACAGAGCTTTGAAGATATGTACTAACGAAAATGATTTAAAAAACGAATTGTTATTAATTAAATATATAGCAGTCGAAAGAGGTTTTAACCCAGATCTTATAGATTGAGCAATTAAAAAATCCACTAATACTATAATAATTGATCAAGTTAGTACTTTAAAACCTAGTTATGAAAAAATTAGAAAGGAAGGCTTAATCTTACCATATGTTCCAGGTGTAACTACTAATTTATTTAAAGTGTTCAAATAACAACAGATATTCTACCCTATATTTAAACCGATGAATACGATGAATCAAATCTTAGGTACTACGAAAGACGAAATACATTTAACTGAAAAAACTGGAATATATAAAATAGAACGTGAATGTGGAAGTATTTACACTGGTCAGACAAAACGTAATTCAAAATACCGCTTAAATGAGCATAAGGGATATGTAAAAAATAAAAATTCATCCATAGCAGAACATGTACAGGAAACACAACACAATATTATGGGAAAAAACTGGAATATTAGCTCAACCAAGAAGTATAATAGGTAATAATATTCGTGAATCGTTTGAAATAATAAAACATAAAAAAGATCATGTAGTATTAAATAGAGATGAAGGTATGGCAAATATCTCTGCAAGAACGTGGATTGATCTCCTTTGAATGGTTTAGCGTGAATGTATGACGCTACTACCTACTAACAAGCTATAAATACTTTGACAATTGTCTTGTAATTCACTCCTGAGGATGACGTTGTAACATCGAAACATGTAGAG